AGTACAATTTGAAAACATCAAAGATGTTCTCCTCTCGGAAATTCCTGTCAGAATCGAAGCACTGCATTACAATCTCACTTACGAATTGAGTCAGGGGAAAATTCGAAAATTGTTAGACAGAGCAGAGCAAGTGAATGATACGAAAAGACAATGTCTCGATGAATTGATTAATTACAAAAATGTCTCTTGCATCGTTATCAAAGATGTGACAATGTATTATCTTTCGGTAATGAAGAAAGACAAGATGATAATGCAACCAGTTGTGAAAATTATCGACGAGTATATTGTCAGTCGTACGAGTAATACTATCTTGGAACCTGGTTCACCGTTTGTTAATCGATTCGATATTTTGATACAGCGAATGTATGATTCGGGAATTATCAAAAAATGGTGGGATGAATACTACTATGAGTCTTTAACAACTGCAGGAGAACTGAACACTTTAGCGTCTGTGGAAATCAGTGACAAGGTAATTACGCAAATATTCTTAATCTTTAGTATCGGATACGTAATTTCCATTGTTGTCTTTATAATCGAATTATTTACGGACTATCTGCTAAAGCAAGCTCCGATTTCTGCTTGGAAATAAATAGAACAAAAAAGAAATTTCAAATCTAAAAATCCACTTACAGATGATATTTATTCAAATTGTAGGTACGAAATTTACCATTATTGCTATGTTGTGGCAAACGTTGCCATGGAAGCACCTTCTATGCAATTTTACTAGTACAGAAAAACAATATTGATAGTATTCCTTAATATTTGAAAAGCAGTCGATATCATCAAAGCACTTTGAAATGTTCAGTTTTAATTCTGAAAAATGAAAATCTATCAAAAGTTCTTTCTCTTCGGAAGCATTTTTATTGAAGTAAGTAGCGAACAGTGGATGGACAATTTAGTCCAATTTGTCGAAAAGGACAGTGGCGTGCATGAAATTATTCTGTTTGTGAACACAAGTCAGGAACAAATTGTATCTAGTGACTATTGGAATGTGAAAGAAAGTGTACCTAATGGAACGGATTTGTACGAATCTTACAGGGAAAATGCAAACTCTAAGAATTTGTATCGAGAAATCCAAACATTGCTAAAGAAGTTGAACACTTTTCCGAACAGATTAGTTGCCGTAAATGAAGATTTACTGAAATCAAGTGAGAAATTTTTGAGTGACTATCAAAATACCCAGAATTCTTTATTTGTTTTGATAAGTACAGAAAATGACGAAGGGGACGAAAATACTTGGGCTAGTATAAATACCATCCTTGGTAATCTCTGTCGTAATAGAAGGCGACCAAAATATTTGATCATCAAGTTCGGAACAATGAGTCTTGCCTTCTACAGACAACATCTACAACAATTGTGGGAAAAAAGATTTCTAGATGCCACAATTTTGGAGATAACGCAACCTGACGAAGAAACCCAAAAACTCAACCATGTGTTAGAGGAACAACAGAATCAACAAAACAAATCAAAGGGGACAACAACAATTTTTAATTTGAATCCATTCAGTAACACCCTGAAAATAAGTAAAAGATGTTCCAGGAATAGTTTCTTTCCGGACAAACTTGGCAATCTACAGGGATATAACATAAACGTTGCCTACATTAACCGACCACCTGAGGTCACCATAGACCACAATGTAGTACCACCGAAAGTCTCGGGCCTAATGCATCAGAAGATATCCATTCTGGCGAAATTGATGAATTTTCGAATCAATATCGCCAACATAACAAAGGCAGGATCATACGGCTGTCATCGAAATGAAACAAGCGGTCAGGTACGTGCACTGATAGACGGTACGATTGACCTAATTGCCATCGAATTCGGGAGAAACGTACCCTGTGAAAATTATCTCTACGAATTCTGCAATGGCATCGGTATGGCAAAGAGTGTTCTCCTTGTTCCAATTATAGTAGAAAAAGTCGATACGAAAATAATCATGAAATCGATGAACGGAATTCTATTTCTAAGCATACCAGTATTTCTCTGGCTCTTCCTTCAGTTACTTCACTTCGATCCCAAACTTTGGCATCTTGAGAACATTGTTCGTATGATGATGGGTTTCGTCGTACCACGCGAGCCAAACAAAAGAAACGAACGTATGTTTTTCATATTCATTTTCGGGTCTAATTTTCTCTTCTCATCGAGCATTTTTATGACCCTAACTTCAAATCAAGTGAGTAATCAACAAACAATAAAGTTCGACAAAATTGACGACGTCCTAGAAGCGGAAATACCAGTAAAAATCGAATCCCTCTACTACTATCTTTTTTATCCAGCAAGCAATGGTAGTATTCGTAAATTGTTGGAACGAGCGGAGCACCTCAACGTAATAATGCAAGAATGTATCGAAGAATTGATTAACCACAAGAATGTTACTTGTATCGTGAAAAGAGAGAATGCCCTAAAGTATACATCGAAAAAGGCGGAAAGTGTGTTACAAACGGTTGCAAAAATAATACCAGAGGATATCACTAACACTCTGAGTAATACCGTTCTCGAACCTGGATCACCGTTTGCCTCTCGATTCGATATTTTAATACAACGAATGTATGACTCCGGAATTGTTGATAAATGGTGGAAAAAATACTACAATGAGGATCCGAATGAAATGGGCGGATTGAGTGCTCAAGTATCGACTGAAGATCTCAGCGACAAGGTAATTAGACACGTATTTTTCGTCTTCAGCTTCGGATACTTGATTTCGATTCTAGTATTTATTATCGAATTGCTGTTATTTCATTACCATAAAAATTCTCTAGTTCTAAATTCAAAAATTTTTTAACTGGTATATTTATCTAAACAAACAAAGTTTTGTGCAAAATTTATAAACTATACTTTTCTTTCTGCCAATTGTATGCAGAAGAATCGATTTTCCTTCTACAGTCAGGAAAAAATGGTTGATAATAATTGTATTTATCCAAACAGCATCTGTATTATTTTGATATTTGTGTTACCGCATATGTTGGCATGAAAATGACCTTACTTTGTAGTTACTCCTGTTTTAAAAATAAGAAAGTGTCTAGTTGACATACGACATTCAGTCGATTACACGATGGACATGTACCTGCGAATTTTGGTTCTTATTAGCATCATGATTGATGCAAGAGGAGAAACGTGGCTGGACGATTTCATCAATTCCACCAAGGAGGATTGCACCATTCATGAAATTGTTCTGTTCATGAATGTAAGATCGGAAAAAATTATGTCTAGTGGTAGTAAAATACGGAAACAAAGTGAACCTAATGGAACGAATTTCCAAGAATTCGGTCGAAATGCGATCCTCAAGGATTCATTCCTAGAAATTCAAACATTCCTGAAGAAATTAAACACTTTTCCGAATAGATTAGTGGCTGTAAATGAAGAACTACTGAAAAGTGAGAAAATGGATGACTATCAAAATACCCAGAACTGTTTGTTTGTTTTGATAAATACAGAAAACGACAAGGACCAAAATACTAGGGATGAAATGGACGAATTTTTTGGCCACATTTGTCAAAATAGGATGAGACCAAAATACTTGATTGTCAACTTCAGGGAAATGGAAACTTCCGTCTACAGACAAAAACTAGAGAAGTTATGGTCGAAACGATTTCTAGATGCCACGGTTTTGGAGATAGTGCAACCTAACAAAGGAAACCAAACTCTGAAACAAGTGATACAGAACAAGCAACAAAAGAAGACAAGAATTATCAATTTTGATCCGTTTAGTAACACTCTGAGAGTCAGCAAAACTGGTCCTTGGTTTCCGAATAAGGTGAAGAATTTGCAAGGATACCGAATGACGATAAGCTTCGTGGAAAGACCACCGGAAGTTTTTATAAATCATGACCAAAATCCACGTCATGTCTCCGGTCTAACGTATCAAAAAATATCGCTCCTGTCCGAGTTGATGAATTTTAAAATAGAAATCGCGAACATAACGAAAGCTGGATCGTTCGGTTGTTTTCGAAATGAAACCAGCCATCAGGTGCTTGCCCTAATAGACCGGGACATCCACTTCGTTGGCACCGAATTCGGCCGATACGCGGAGTGCGAAAACAAACTCTACGAATTCAGCCGAGGTGTCAGCATGGCGAAGATAGTTTTAATAGTACCGATAATCGAGGACAAATGCGACACGGTTGAAATCACAAACCACGGTCTGAGTCTGATTATAGTAACCAGCGTGCCGACAGTTTTATCCCTAATTTTCAGACTACTACGCTTCGAAGAAAGAGTCTGGCACACGGAGTACATTCTGCAAATGATGATCGGCTTCGTCGCTCCTAACGAGCCGAGGAAAATATTAGAAAAAGCCATCTTCCTACTTATTCTCTTCTTGAATTTTTTCTTCTCCTCCTTCATACACACCAGCTTAACATCAGTTTACGTTGGACAGGAAAAAAATGCAAAGTTTGAAAGTATGCAAGACGTTTTAAACTCGGAAATTGCCATCCGAAGCGAAGCCCTCTACTACTATCTTTGCTACGAAACAAGTGATGGCGACATTAGAAAGTTGTTCGACAAAGCGGAACGCACGGATGCAACTTTAGGATGTATTAAAAATTTGATCAGGTATAAAAACGTCACTTGTATCGGAAAGAAGGATGAAATTCTCCATCTACTGAATAATTTGAAGGGAAATAATTCCCAACCGGCAGTGAAAATGATCGAAGAGGAAATATTCTCGACATTAAGTAACACCGCTCTGGAACCGGGATCGCCGTTCGTCAAGCACTTTGATAAATTAGTCCAAAGGATGTACGATGCCGGAATCGTGGACAAATGGTGGGATAAGTATCTACATGAGGATCCAAGCGAAATCGGCAATTTGAATACCAACAAATCGACTGATGACATCAACGAAAAAATAATCAAACGAGTGCTACTGTTCATCAGTTTCGGTTACGTGATTTCGACCATTACTTTTATTCTCGAATTGCTAATTTTGTTTTCGCCTCATTTTGGAGAAACTCTCCAAGAAACCGGTGGGGAATGAAATAAAAAATTGTCTTTCCTACCTTGTGCGTTTCCATTGTGTTGGTTCGCCTGCGGTAATCCCGGATAAAGAGACGAGAGATGCAGTAAATTTTGATTGTTGGGTGGACCCGAATTGGCAGTTGTCGGTGTCGACGTTGCCGATGGTGGTTTCTGGGATTGCTGGCCAGCAGTGGTTATCCCTTGGGTCAAAGTTGTGCCACCATTACCGGTGCCGTTTCCTGGTTGATGTTGAGACGTTTGTTGTGGAGTCGGTGGTTTCTGTGTAATTCGCGACTCGCCCATGGGACCTGAAATGTTTCACAATTATTCGGTTTATTACCTTAATGTTTAATGTCTATTCTTTAAATAAAGCATTATTTATTTTTTTTGTTTTATTTACGTTTCAATTTTACTTTTTCTAATTATTCTTTTTGTTTCTTTAATTGTATACAACTAAAGACAGTTCTTATTCATTATTTAGATTATTTAATAATAATGAAAACTATTATTATGCAAATATTAAATTTTTAAATATAGATGTAGTTTTATTATTTATTTACGATTTTATTGTGCACCGGCTATAATTTACATTTGCATCAAATATAATCTCACATATTAATACACAAAACTTTGAATAAATATCTAATAATGTAAATAATTTCAAAATATCTATTTGCTAAAATACAAATTATAAATTTAAAAGTCTATTTAAAATTTTTAAGCAATTAATAATTTCAATAAGTGCAGGCCTCGAATCGACTTTAAAACACAAAAAGTCGCTTATTTAGTCGATTAAAAATACAAAAAAGTCGTTTATTTAATTCAGTATTGCAACAAAAATTTTATCTTGTAACTGTAATTTATTATTGTCTATACATTCAATTTATTATATATACAATTAAAAAATTTCCAAACAATTGAATTTTGGTAAAAACTTTTTAAAATAATTGAAATTTGATAAAATATTTTTAAAATAATTGAATTTTGGTACAATCTTTTAAAAATAATTAAAATTTGATAAAATAATTGAAAAAAGTCGAAAAATTCAATATCCGAGGCCAGTAAGTGTGATTTATGGAATTGTTAAAATTTTTTCATTTTTAATTATTAATTATTATTTATAGTTGATTAATAATGCACTTACATCAATTGCTTCATTAAATAAATTTAGATTAAATAAATAAATTTTTAAAATAAAAATTAAAAAAATTGAAATTATATTTTTCATTACTCTTTAAATGCGTGTAATTCAATTCAATAAATGTAAAACTTTGATAGTCTAATGAAATAACTGTGACTCATGTCAGAGGCGGCACCTAGTCAATTGCTCAGGAAATAATAAAACGAATTTAAGGTCGGTAAGAAAGATAACGTGCAGTAAAATATAATTTAAACATTTTCCTCCACGGTAACTTACTCACGAAAGGATCAATAACCATTATTAACAGAGAAATACAAATTTTTAAAGAATTCAAATACGAAAGACTTTGAAATAAAAATTTTGGAAAATTAAAATTTTATCGTTTTAATTTCTAATTTTCGAGAGTAATAGATAGTTAAAAAAATAAAAACGTGATAATAATATAAACATTACTATTAGTATTATTATCATTATTTTAATTACTTTATTTATTTATATTTAAATATAATAAAAAATAAATTTATTTGTTACATTTATTGTATTATTATTAAACCGAATTATACTTGTTCACTAATGTAATACTTAATATTAACTATTATTGAAAATATAATGAAGACTGAATAAAATGAAAAGTTGGAGAGTAATTAGGAAATAATTATTGAGACCCTCTGTAAATATAAATGACTGCGGAGTGCGCAAAATTGTGACATCGCACATAAGAAATTAAAGAGCTGACTCACCATTTTCTGGTATTGGTGTGATTGGACTCTCGGGTAACAGTATTCCTTTTTGCACCAATTCCTCTCTTTTCGCGCGAAAAGAAATTTTCCTCTCGAGAGCTTAAAAAAAGAATAAAATAATCATTTTCGAATACTTTAACTTAAAAAGGAAGAAAATAAGTCAAAATAATGTAAAATAAAACTTACATCTCGATGCAGCCTCAAATTTATCCGATTTCTTTTTTCGTTTCCATTTCCATGGTTTGAATAGTCTACCGAGAGCGGAAAATTTACTTTTCCTTTCAATTGGCGGTGTTCTCGCTCCAGAACCCAAACTGTTTGTTCGTAGAGCTGCTCCATTTTGCTTCTTTGCTGTAACAGAACAAAATTTTAAATTAAAATCCAAATAAATTCTATTGAAGGTTCTGTTCTTTATTCTTTTTCTTTACATTACAATATTGTACTGAGAGAGAGGTTTATTTATAGGCACATTTCTCGTGAGTAGAGCAGGAAAAAAACATTTTCATCAAATATTGTTCGTTCAATGTTTATATTTATCATGGGAGGGAAAATTTGATTATTTAATGATAAGAGAACTTGAATAACAACGGGAGATTCCCTCTTATCGACAGTTTTCTAGAGATGCGCTTTACAGATACCTGCATTACCCCCACACACATTGTAGCATCAACAATTATTGCTCGATAATTCAAATCAACATTGTTTATTCAATACGAGTACAGACTTCGCACTCGATAATTCATTTTTAAAAAGTAGCAAAAAGTAGCTAACGAAAAATTAAACTTGACGACCAACAAAACTCGCGTCAGTCTCTTCCCAAAACTGACGAAAATTCCATTCCATATTTCATTTTCCCGACTTTTTCCTAATTTTCATCGAAAATATTTACTCCTTCTCATCCTACTGCTAATAAATTCAATTCCTGCAACGAATTTTATTCTTCATCAGAGAATTTCAATATTTAGAAAAATAATTTCATTCTTGCGAACAATTTTATGAAATTTTTTTTAATTAATTCATTTCTTTCGAATAATTTTATGCAAATTCTAATTTAAATAATTGATTACCTAAAAAATTTTTATTATTCATGAAAAGAATTCAATTCTTACGAAGATTTTTACAAACAACTTTTTAAATAATTGAATTCTGTTTAGAAGTTTCATGAAAATAGTCGATATTGAAAATCATTGAATTACGAAAAGTTTTTAAAAATAATTAAGTTTTACAAAAAATTCTACTAAAATTTTTGACAATAATTGAATTTTTATGTGGTATTTTATTAAATTTTTTTTTAAAAATATTTGATTTTCCAAGAAGAAATTTATTACTTTTTAAAAATAATTGAATTCTTGTGCGATAAATATTGTTATTTTTTGAAAATAATTAAATTTTGCAAAAAATTTTAATAAAATTCCTAAAAATAATTCAATTTCTATGAAAATTTTTGTTACTTATTAAGATAGTTAAATTCTTTCAAATAATTTCGTTAATACTTTTGAAATAATTAAATATAATTTAAAGAATTCAAATAATTTCAACACAATTGAAATTAAAAATTTTCAAAAAAATTAGTTTTATAGAATTGTCAGTATCCAAATAGTAGCATATAATGTATAAAAAGTTGTAAATAGTAGGTTTTAGTATAGTTGAGCTCGAAATCTGCAAGTAGAAATGTTTTTTGTCTTTTTTAAAATAGAGTTGCGAACCATAATGCAGATTTTCCTTATTAATTTGTTGTTGGTGAAAACTAATAGCAGTAGAAGTAGGAAAAGAAATTGTAGTATGCAACAGGCTATGCAACCAACAGAAGAAAAAAAACAGGCACAGTACAGAAGGAATAGTAGGATAAGTAGTGGGAAAGATAAGATGAACAGTAGTATACTAGTAGGATAGGTAGAACTAGTGGAATAAATAGTCGGACCATTAGGGACAACTGTAGGACAAGTAACAGCTTCAGTAAGATAAGTAGTGCAAAAGAGGTTAGGAATTGCATTAATAATATTATTCCGAGCTGTGCAGAGTGCAAATTATTATAAATGCAAGCAGATTGTGTACAGCGGGCAATGGAGATGTTTCCCGACATTAATATTGCATTGACTTTTGTAGCATGATAACCGTGTTCTAGGGACTTTGCGGTAGGTTGGCAACCAGCGTCCAGGTAATTGGGAACAGAAAACAAAGTAGGGTAGTCATAGCAACGCCCCAGCATCCCTTAGTTTCTAGGGAGGACACGCTGCAGACTACCTTCTGGAATCCCTCCCTCCCTCCCACCATTTAACTCACATTTTATTCCCTCCACGTAATTTCCTCACCTGCACAATATGCTTATTTGTTATTTACCTAACTCTCCAAATCCCGTAATAAATTACACCCACTTGTTAATGTTTCCCTTTGTTTGTTGAACCTTATTAGAGCCTACAGACTAGTGCTTGCACTACTTTAGAATTCACTATTTATAATAAGCTTATTCGTTTAGATTAGAATGCAAGAATGCAACTTTTCTACTAAATAATAATGCAGACGGAGCGTGTATTTGAAGGATGTGGAAATGAGATGAGGGTGCAATTTGGTGACTCTGTGATTAATCCTCGACCCTCTCGCAAGATATAAACCACAAGCAGACAAGTTGCAATACCTAAACATGCCGTACAATACAAAATGCAATCTCTTGGCACGTAATATCGTTCTATTGTTCTATTCCCTTTGCCCGCGTATTCCTCCGCCCCTCAATATTGGCTTTTTACTTACAACGGCAGGTACTTTGCGACGTTAATTACTCCACTTTAAATTTCATTCATTACTTTTCTTCTGGGTCTTCCGAAAAATCACAAGAAACATGTCACTCGATTATTTACAAGCTTTTAAATCGCTTTCAAAGTTATAGCCCCAAATGTGAGTAGCATTTTACAAATCCTTTTTCAAAAACTAAACTGTTTCGAAATATAAAAAAAAACAATAGATTTCTGAGAAATAAATTTTTATGAAAAGACTTAAACTTCCTTTTTGAACAGAAGAAAAGCTTTCTCTAAAATTCAGAATATGTTATTGAGGTATAAAACAAAGAGTCTCTTAAAAAGAAAAATCTTGATGAAAAAAGTTGGTTTGTTTTATTGAGGGTACCTTAAATCGCTTAGTGGAGACATAATCTTTCGTATATAGTCCTCAGAAAATGAAGTACTCTTTCACTGACCTACCTCAATATCGATCCTCGAGTCTCCCTCGGGAATTTCTAAAATTACTACTACTTCTCGAGAATATTCCCCTTATTTTATGCCAAACCTTACATCTCCGCATATTAAGAATTTACTGCCGTTATGTCAGCCCTTTCACATGTCGCACAAAAATGCTCCTCTTTCTGCAATTTCACTATTCCTACTATTCCTACTATTTGTTATTTTATTACTATTTCTGTTACTTCTACTTCTACTACTACTACTTTTTTAAATTAATATTTAATAATTATTATTTTTCCATAGGAATTAAGATTTTCAAATTCGGATCCGACTTTAACAAGCAAGAAAACTCGCCTTAGTCAATTAAAAATAGAAAAAAAGTCGAAAAAGTAATTTATTTAATTTGATTATATTTTGTATTTCACTGATTCTTCGCACTGATTTCTAAATTCAATTAATCAAACCTTGAATAATTTTGCTAAATAAATATTTAAATCCAATAGAAGAAAGAAATCAGAAAAATTGAGAGATGAGATGTAAATAATATGCTTCGTTTTCCAAGTATCGAAAAAAATCCAAGTACAGCTGCATTTTCCTATAATAGATTGCCAATACTAGAGATCGATTAAAATTCGTGTCATGACCGCGAACTCAAGATTAACCGGATATGAGAAAATCGATTGATTGAATCAAACGTGTATACAGTGCGTGATGCTTTTACGAGTAGATGACGTGCTGTCATGACTTAATTAAGGGTTTGTGTTATAAGCCCCCAAGTGTACGTCCCATAAATTCGAATACATAAATCTGAAAAACAAAAATCTCATAGTCATAACCGTCATCTTTCGAAATCATCTATACTATTCGATTTACTAATACAAAAACCAAAAAAAACACTGGGGGAATTCTCGATTAAATGATGAATCAAGAGGAAGTGGAGAAAAATTTAATGGAAGGAGCACATGTTTGGTTTTCAGAAAAAAAGAAGGAAGAGGAGTGTTGGAATGACGCACAAAAAAATATCTAAACGTGGTATTATTTTTAGATTATTTGGTACTGATGCGTGTTTATTTAAATTATCCCGAGTATTTTAAAATTGTCTGGTAAAAATGCAATATCCCGTTTTATAGAATGTGGAGAATCTGAAGATGGTATTGTTCTTAGATTTTTATATTAGATGATCTGAAGTTTATTTAAAGATATCTCCATGTTTGGATCAAGGCAAACTTTTGGGTCGTCTATAAAGATATCTTTAAAACATCTTGATAGATGATCCAAAAGTTTGTCTTCTATTATGATCCAAACGAAAAATAATCAGGCGAACCAGACTCCATCCAAACAGCTTTAGAATTATCTGTATGGAGATGAACAAACCTTTAGATAATCTATTACCAACTTTACAGATGATTCTAAACACGTGAAAATTTGTTATTTAATTAAAATAAAATAAGAACAGATTACATAATTTGATTTTGAAACATCTTAAATTGCAGCCCTACAACTGTAATACGTTAAAGTATAAATTGCTCAGAGCTCGTAAAATAAAATTTTCTTCTCTTCATTCCCAGCATGATTTGCTTTAATAATTGGACAGATGTGACAGGCGAGGTGTAAATTTTACTAATGAGAAAAGGAGATTTCAACACGGTACACGTTTTCCTTTGTAGTATGATGTTTTCTTGAGAGAAAAGTCGCGATAGACGAGAGAGAAGAGCGAGAAAGGAGATACTTTCTTTAAGACTGAGGAAGATCTTTAGAAGAGAGCAAACTCGAGAGGACGAGGTAACGAGAAGTGAAAGAAGAATTCTAGATATAAAACACAAAAAAAAAGAAAGAAAAAAGGTATGGCACCAGTCGGAGCCAATTGGATTTCTACGAAATATACTTTTTCCTCTTGAGAAAAATATCAAAAAAAATCCTTTCTTGACGAAAACAAATCGTTTTTTTCTTCAATGAGTATCATTTAATGAAGAAATCAATCTTTCTCTAAAAAAGAAAAAGAACAAAATCTGTAACAAATCTTTAAAAGAAAATCAATCATTCGAAGATAAAAGGCGACAGCTAATTTCAAAATGCTTCTTAGCAGGACTGTTGACTTGAAGTGTTCAATCAAGTGTGACAAAACGTTCGTCCCAAATACCAGTCTCGGTCTGAATGTAATGCGGATGCGATTCGACAAATCGCATACGGCAATTATTTATTCACGCAGGGTACACAAAAATATTTACATTCGTTAGAAAGAAAAAATTAAGGGATGAAAAATAAAGTTGACGTTACAAACTAAAAAAGCGGTTTTTAGCAAGAAAAACAATTCTTTTTCTAACAATTTTCGTGACTCGTGGAGACCAAGGAACTTCCTGTTTCTTTTCTAAGTTGTGACTATTCAACTCGGATAAATATATAAAGTGCTTGGCTCACAGATAGCAAGTGGATATACTCGGGAACAAGTGAGTATTATTGGTGTATTCAGAAGAATGAGAATGAACAGTTATTTATGAATAATAGGCGTAGCATAATACTCGATGAATGATGTTGTAAAAACGCACATTATACATACTGTATGTTAATTAAGACACCACTTTAGAAATGATGTATCTCAAATGGTAATGTTATTGTATTGTGAAAAAAGGTGGATGTATCACTGTGACAGTGTTGATTTTAAATTACGGTGTACAATATTAAGTCTATACGAAATTTTCAAATGCTTGTTTCCTAGGGTACTTTTTAGAAAGTTTTCTCAATCATTTCATTCATGATGACGGTTTAATACTCTTTTATCCTTTAACTTCAGCTCCATCTTTAGATTATCTCAACTTTATAGCACTTTTAGATGATCTGAATTCTAACAGGGTGTCTAACAAATTAAGGAAGATCAATTCCCTGACTCTTCAATTTCAATGAATATATTCCTATCAAGATGATGAAAAATTCTTTTGACAGCGATAAAATTTAGCATTTCTCGGAAATATAAAATTTTGATGCCAATTAAAAAGCAGTGTAATTCCTTGCGTACTATAAAAATATCTACCAAAAATGCAATTCAACATCCGTAACCCAAAGATTAATAGGCGCTTTCAACTCGTACAGCATCTGTATTCTATTGTTTAATAGCGTCTACAAATGGCACACACTATATCCATTCTGACATTTAATATAGCATTGTACAATAATTGGTTTGCCATCTGTACCCTAAATTTGTTGCCGAAACAGTAAAAAAAGTTATCTCTACGATTTCTTCAAAGAGAATCAAGCGAAACAAAATTAAACTCGAAAAAAGTAAAAATAAAAGTGAAAATAAATGTAAAAAAACTAAAAGGAAAAATAAAAGTAAAAATAAAAAAATAACGAGGTACGAGACAATAACACCTGGCGCTGTGAATTAAAATACGAGATAAAATGTTTCTCTGCAATTATTTAATAAGAATAATTAGGAGAATTATTATTGGATTATTATTGGAATTTGAAACTCAAACAGTTGCGCTTGTTTCTGTGGATTTTAATAAAGTTCCAAGGCAAACGAATGTGTACGACAAACACCGTTATTCGACGTGTACTATATGTACTTCCGAGGCACGTATAAACCAACAGTAGTCACACACTGTATATACATATATAGTCAACAACTCTGTACACTCTGCACATCACAGTAAACAACAAAAACACCTGATCTGACCGTGCTCTATCAATGAAAAAAGGCGCAAAAAATAAAAGGAAAAAATTCTAAAACCCAGAGAGAAAAATGGACTTTCCAATAATTTCTAAAGAGAATATAAGGTGTTCCCATAAATTCTTCCAAGCACATAAACACATGTTACAACAAAGGCATTCAATTATTTATATTCTAATCAAAATAGTTATTCGTTTAAAAATTCATTGATTTTCCATTCTTTTCCAAAGAAAGGAAGAATGGAAACGAATTTATAATTGAACAATTTTCTCTCTTCCTCTCTCTCAATTTTTGATATTATACAATACAAGAGAACATAAAAGTAAATTACCGACAATTATGATGCACTCTTTTAAAATTCGAAATTGCTCTGCAGTTAACGAAAATTACAATGTTCTCTTTCCTAGGATATCTGTGTGTACAAGTTACAAGTATATGTATAGTGAACTTGAAAACAAGATTTTCAACATACAAGTTTCTCTAACTCAACTCAGATATACAGGTTGACATAACTTCCTAGTTTGAAGCAGTAAATCAAAAGTTTATCTCTCGTCAGGGCAGTTAATAGCAACAATAAGAAGAATACAAAATAACCAGAAATTCCAGAAAGCATTTCCGTTGCAAATTTTTTATTTTCTTCTCATCAAAAATTCGAAATGCAAAATGAAAGTGTAAGTCCCTTAATGATGAAAATGAACGGATTGAAGAATAACAAATTATACACCAACTCCTCTTTCGGATGTTCTAAACCTTTCGAACTATTGCAGCTATTCATCCTACTAGTCCTGATATTTATCATACTAATTCCAGTGTTTATCCTACTAGCCCTATTCATCCTGCTGGTCTACTTTCTACTATTTACCCTACACTGAAAAAGAATTTAATTGATTCATATAACCATATTATCAATTAAATATTTACTTGAATCAAATAATATTTATTGGAGTCAATTAAATGGTTCAATTCATATTTGCTTCAAATACTGAAATTATTGGTTCAAACATCATTTAATTGACTCCAATAAATATTATTTGATTCAAATTAATATTTAATTGATAATAATAGTTAATTAATCAGTTATTTGAATCAAATAAATTTTTCTCCAGTGTAGAAATTTCAACAAGAATTCAATTATTTAAATACGAAAATTAATAACTTATTGAATAATGAAATGTTTCTTTAAATTGAATTCCCATAAAGTATTTTATAAACAAAATTTTAAATAATTGAATTCTTTTAACGAATTGCAATAAAATTTTTAACAATAATTAATTGAATATTAATTACATTAAAAATATAATAATTGAAACTCTGCAAATTTACGGACCTAGTTCGAGCCCTATTTAGAAAAATTCGCTAATTAATGCTCGTTGAAATTTTATTGGCATAAAATTAATATTTTTCTCTACAATTTCATCCGTTTTCTGACCAATTTCCAAAGTGAAATTCCATTGGAATTCCTGGATTCCATCTGGAAAATCATCGGAATTCTATCGGAATTTTTTGTCATAAATTCGATAAAATTCCTCTCGAGTGACTGTATGATGAAAATTATTTATCGGAATTCGAAGGAAATTTTTTTAAATGATTATACTTTACGAAAAATACTAGCCAGTGCGGGGAATAATTAAAAATGTAAATAGGAGAAAATATTTTTTTATTTTCATTGCAAATTTGTTAAAATTGCTTAAAAAGATGTAAATGTGAACGTGTAACATGAAGGTATGCAACAAAGACAGGCGGCATTTTCATAGTTTGACGCGCGTTTGAAAAAGACTGAAATGGCCCGTTGAGCGAAGTGAGAAAGGCACGTAACTAACGCACGTTTCGCTATTATTACGACGACATGGCGACCCCGCGACCTTTCACTGGTTACAGTAATCGCGATGGGACTTGGAAATGCATGAAACTTAATGCGTACAGTTGTAACAAGTTCAGGCGAAATACCAAAAAAAAAAAAAAAAAAGAAATTTAATGAAAATCCTCCATCAATTTTAAATGCATCCTTTGGCATTCTTTTACACCATTTATTTACACCGATTTTATATTTAATTTTTCGGTTTATTTTCAAATTTTGTTATTTATTTCCCTCTTTAATTGTAAACATCCGTTTTCGGTTAATTGCAAATTTGAATTTGGCAATCGGCGCATCGGACAAATGGCCTAGGGGTATTGCGCTTGCTGCGTGTACATAGAAGTCCAGGGTTGATTCTTGCCAAAGGCGTTTTTTTAAATTCAGTGGCGTTTACAATTAAATGCAATTAATTATTATTATCATGTAAAATAAATTTGTTCAGCCGGAAGGACACAAATTATATAATTAAATAAATATTTTCTAATAATACACAGGCTTAATTTTTGAAAAATAATTAAAACTCCTTTTAACAAAAGGCACATCAGTAAATAATTAAATGAAGTATTATTAGTTTTAATTAGATGAAATTGATTATTATTAAACGGATTAAATTTTCGAACCTAGAAAGACAAAAAAAGAAAAAGTAAATATGAAAGTGTAAATAAATAAAGTAAAAATGAAATTATCAGAATAATGTTAGCTAGACATCGTAAATTCAGACGAGAAATTGCTGAACTACATTGAAGCGAATGATTGCGTGGAATTTTGTTGATATCTACATAAAATGAGTTTTATAATGAGAAGATGTTACGCGAACGATGAATTCGTTTCTTCAATCACGCAACAAAGCAAGAAAGACCGCTTTACTAATAAATCACTTTCTACTCTCACACACACGATAGACTTAGACTCGCACGTCTTCAGCGACGTCGTTTTCTATGTCGCGACTCGCGAGCGAATCTTCCTCAAGAATCAAAACTCATTATAAACTGATGCAAGTATCATCGACGCAAACACATACTCAGCGTTCCCCTCGCGACTATCGATTTTCAATTTATTATTATTAACATTATTACAACATTCCTCAATATTATTCAATATTTTCTTTATAAATATTTCATTTAATTAATATTAGTAACTTATATTAATTAATTTATATTTAATTAGTTAGGTACTTTATAATTTAATTAACAATATTCGGTATTTAATAACTTTTGATTACTTTTGATTGAATAACTGAATACTTAATTACTATACTATAATTGAATTTAATAATTTGAAATTGAAACCTATAATGTTTATTATTAAGTTAACAATTTCCCAGTAAAATAAATACTAATTTCACCTCTAAAGAGAAAAAAAGAAGAAAGAAGAAAAATGACTTGAATTAAAAAAAGTAAAATATTTGAATTTACTCACGAAACTCGTCGAAGTAAAAGTGTATATGATTCGATTTACCTGAAACAGAAAGAGAAAAATAACAATTAAAGAAACATGTTTTAATTAAGAATCGAGATAGAGAGCGAAAGAAAAAAAGTTTAATTATATTATATTATATACATATTTTATACTTTTGCAATTAATCACTTTCAAAAACTTTCTAATCTCGGGGAAATTGCGAGAAAAAAGGGGAAGAACACGTTCCTCGGGCTGTGTGTGTATACACCTTTATACTTGGTAGAATGAGGGATTGAAATTGAAAGAGAAACCTGTCAACTCAGCGGATACTCTTAGAAGTGGAAATTGTGGGTGATCGAGGCTTTTAAGCTTATTAGTCGTTTTAGGACTAATAGCTTCGTCCAAATGGGATAGAATAGAATAGAAATATTTTTTCTCAAGAAAAAAAATATTGGACAACGCAACTATACCGTCAAAGGGTACAAATATTCAATCCTGCAAAACATGTTCAGGGTTGAGACAAAAAATTAATTTTCTTTTTCCCTGACTTTTCCCGCATTTCCAGATAAAAACATTAATAACTTCTTTCTTAAATAAATATTTAATCATTATTATTCAAATTTTCAAAGATTTTAATTCGAACCCTTTTCAAAATTCAATTATTTCTATGAATTTACTACATTATGCTTTTAATATTCAATTTTAATTTAAAATTTTAAGTGAAATTTATTTATTAATTAATTTTTATTAGAAAATTTAACAAGAATTCAATTATTTAAATACAAAAATAATTAATTGAATTTTTATGAAGAATTTTATCAAATTTTTTAAACATAATTGAATTCTTTCAGCGAATTTCAAAAAAAAAAATTTGAGAATAAATGCAATTTTCTATCATTTTATTTAAAATTGTATAAAAATTATTGAAATTCTGCGATAAGTATTGTTATTTATGAAAATAATTGAATAACTTGCAACTAATTTTATTAAAAATTTTTTTAAAGAATTGAATTCCTGTGAAGAATTTTATTTTTGAAAATAATTGAATTCCGAAGAAAAATATTATTATTTATGAAAATAATTAATTTCTTATGAAGAATTTTATTTAGATTTTTGTAAATAATTAAATTTGTCAGAATTTTTTAAAACTTTTTGAATATAATTAAATTCCATCGAGAAATTTCATTAAAAAATTGAAAATAATTGAAATCTGACGAAGAACTTTATTACATTTTTTTTTAAATAATAGAATTCCTGTGAAAAATTTTATTTTTGAAAAGAATTGAATTCTTGGGAAAAATTTTATTAAATTTTCTTAAATAATTGAATTGCTTCGAAGAATTTTATTTTTTACGAAAATGATAGAATTGTTTCGAAGATTTTTACAAACTTTTTGGACAATAATATTGTATTCCTAGGAAGAATGTTATATTTTACGAAAATAATTGTAATGATCAATTTTATTATAATTTTTCAAATTTATAAAGCATTTTAATAACTTTTTTAAAGAATAATTGAATTCTTGAGAAAAAATTTATTATTTATGCGAAAATAATTGATTTCTTGCTAAGAATTTTATTGAAAATAATTGAATTCTTAAGAAGAATTGTATTGAAAATAATTGAATTGAGGAAAGTTTCATTAAAATTGCAATTGTAGTTTAGATTCATCCAATCGAATTTTTATTTAAAATTAATTGAAAAAAGCAAATGTTTTTATTAATGTTTTATTATTTTGAAAAATACTGTAAGAAAATGTAAATGTTGCTTTGAATTACATTCCTCTATATTAATAATATATTCTATCAAGAGTAATAATTTGTCCGGCAAACTTATTATTACCCAACGAATTGCCGTAACAATAATAATTGTACCATTAAGAAATAGCTTGTATGAATCATTCATGCAACCACTCACATGTGAAGTTAATAAATGATTAAATAATGCTTCAGCAATAAATAGAATTCTGTGAAATTGAAAACTAATGAAAAGATAAAAGAAGAAGTGATTATTTTCTTTTGACAAAAGAGAAAAGTGTCAATATTTGGAATAGTCTGCATTCTCTAAATTTACGCCTTCGGTTTCGGTATGGATTTACCGACAGAAATGGGAATGTAATGATTTATTTATATCTGCACTGCCCCACATATAGTTTATTGCTGATAAAATTGTGGTAGCTACCTATGAACTCTAATTAATTTTCCCGATGCAGTAACCAGTTTTCAACTCCACCTTTACAGTGTTGCATTTAAATAACAGGATGTTGTATCAATTTTACTCTCTCTCTCTCTCTCTCTCCTCGGCAGTAAATTTGTTTTTCAAAGTCATTTTTATTATTGTTTCAATAGATGATCGCTTATCATCTTAAGCATGTTTTTCTCCCTTGTAAAGGTTGAGGACAAAAATATTTAATATGCAGATGATGTTCAAGATTGTTTTTTCTCTATTGCACAAGGTTTGAATAAAAAATCAAACTTTAGCATCTAGTCATATTAGTTTTTATGTATGGATTTCTTTTTGTTTGGTTCCTGCAATATCCGATTTTAAAAAGTGTCGGGACTAAGATTTTCTATGACATCATTCTTTATAAATCAGCACATCATCATCACAAAGTATTGAAAACAAAAATTTTAAATAAAAATTTGTATAAATAAAATTTTGAATGCTGTATGGAATATAGTGTCAGTAGTAAGACAAATAAAATAATGAAAAGTATGAATACAGTATATTAATAATAGGACATGTTTCTTCCACTCCACCTTTGTTTATCATTATTCATTTCGATTTGATGAATCATAAATCCACCTACAAGCCGATTAAATGTGCCAACACTTGAGAAATGCAAATTCTTCCTACTATCAGCAAATAGAAGTTTTCGATTGAAAGGAAAAAAATCCAATTATAGTTGTATTCCATTTTCAATGTAATTGTTTGGGCTTGACAAAAACCCATTTATGATGTTCTTTAAAGGGGAAAATTAAATTTAAACCAAAGCTTCTTTTATTGTTTTGGGAGCAAATATCTCAATAATGCAAATTGAGAGAATAAGTAGGTCTAAAATAATAATAATGCGATAGTTTGTAAACTTGCTGAAGCAATAATATCTCATAATGAATCTTTACAATAGAAGGGCTTGGTTTTATTTCTTTGGGAGAAAATTTGCAGTTCTCAAAGAAAAAACATTTCCCATTATTCCTTCTGCTTAAAAAGAGGTTTAATTATAGAAATTAATCTTGAAATTAATCTTGCTCTATAAATCGATTTCGAAATAAACCTTTTCTCGATCAGTAAAACAAAAATTTTCCGACTTTTTGTCACAATGAAATTGGTTATTTCGTTACTTTGAACTTTATTAAAATGGACGAATGCTTATTTGCATTTGGTCGATTTTTAACTGTTACGGGAGAGAGGGACATCTGCATGGTAATTTCACCCGTATGCGTATGCAGTGTAAGTGCGGCTGTTTTGTCCACCGCCGTTTCACAATAAATTAATAGACTTACTACCACTCCTCTTTTCTTACTTCCGCTCCACTTTGTCATTTTTATACACAAACTGAAATAAATGACAAAAATAATGCATTATTTTATTGTGTGGTAAAAATAATAAATAAATGGGAATTTGTTGTAAAAATTGTGATTGCATTCTTTTTCTTTGACTAAATTGCGGAAACGAACGCGATGTCCTCAATAAAGAAGAGAAGCATTTATTTCGCAACACCTGCTACCCTCTGATTGTATAGCCCCTTGAAACATTTCAGTTCCAGGGATAATCTTGACTCGAGGATGGTGGATAAAGACGAGTGGAGTCGTTTTAAATTATGTACTATATGCATGCAGACAGTAAAAGAGACGAGATTGAGCGAGGTTCTGGAGGAGGTTTTTGATTTTATTTAACAAATCCTTTGAACGCCTTTTGAGGTAGTTTTCTAATTAACATATATTATACTTGTTTTGACTTTGTAAACTTGTAACTTTCAGACTCGAGGTTGTCAAAATGTTTTGTTGCCTTGTTCTTTTGGTAAATTATTTAGAAGATCTTTTTAGTTTTTCTTCCTTTTCGCCCCTTGTAGTATTTATTCTGCCTTTTTCGAACTTTTCACCCCTGATTGTAAGACTTCTTCGGTTTTTTGGACCTATTACCCCTGATTGCAGGTTTTCTTTGGACATTTGGAACTTTTTACCCCTGAAAGTTATAACATCTAGGTTACCACAAGTCAATGTCAATGTCAACGTCAATGTTTAATAATTGTCAACAATGATGTTGATACCTCTCTTCGCATTCGGAATGGGATATAAAAATGATAATGAATTTTAAGACCCACTAAAGAATTTAATGATTCTGATGATAAAATATAACCAGATTTCGATTAATGCTTTTCCTGAAGCACACCAAATGAAAAAATGTTTCCTTGAGATAAACGGCTAATGCATCGAAAATAAAATTACAAAATACTCATCTTTCTCGTTTTTGACAAATATAAAGTTGAAAATTTTCCTCGAAATAATGTATAGGACTTTGTCAATGAAATAAAGCAACAGGTAGCAAATATAAACGGATATATCAGTTGCCTTGAGAACAGACTGCAATTCGACTCTTGGGAGCAATATTTTCCGTACACACGACACGGGAGGGGGGACCAATCTCTTATGCTTCTATGAATTCCCTAATAGCTAACATCTAACGACAAATTAACAGCAACAAGTTTTAACTTTATCAATATTAGTACTTTACAAACTCATCAAAAATTTATCAAAAACCTAGTTGCCTGATGACTAGGTTTTTGATAAATTTTTGTCCGTATACGGACAGTTTCACGATTTACAGAAAAAGAAAGTCGTATCGTCACAGGCTTCTTATAAAAATATGCAAAAACAATGGTACTTTGATATTGGTTTATTTATTTTGTTGATGAATCCAGGACAAAACCCAGGGGGTATTTCTCAAAGGGAAGCTTCCTTTGAAAACGGATCAAAGAAGCAAAGGTGTACATTTTGTTCTTGTAAATGCGTTTTTCCAACTTTTCCAACTTTTCCTCCAGGTTGTTTGTATATTTGTGTA